CGTACTGAAGGCTTGTCCTGAGCTCTGGGCGCCTTGAACTTCCTCAGCAGCAGCAGCCTCCCCACCACTCTGACCACATGGGCCGGTGCTTCTGATCACCCCAAACGGAGCTCCTGGAGGGAACCGTGGTGGTCAACAAGCCCAGGACACCCTCCAGAAACCCGGAGAAGTAGCTCCGGGTGGCTGGCGCTCTCCGCACGAATGTTTGACATGAAGCACAAACACCAAGCCTTCCTCCGCTCACCACCGGTGTGGCTCTCCCGGCTCCTACACCTAGAAATTCCCGTGGGCCCGACTGCGTGGGACCCGGGAGAGTGGGACACAGGGCACGGCCGGGCACTTCCCCTGCTGGCTGCTGCCAGGTGCCAACTCTGAGCCATGAGCCACCTCTGACAAGCCCAAGGTTTTACATCTCAACTGTCTGAATATTTTATTGACAGTAGCCTGTGGTGTTTTTTTGTTGTTGTTTTTTTATCAGCCAACCTGTTTTACAAAAACAAGCCCTTCAAAGGCATGCAGTGAGGAGACACCATTTTTCTAACATGCCCCTTGGTAAAGGCTGAATATATGACGATGGAGGCTCGGGAGGCACGTGGCGTTACACGGTTTAAATGGAGCTCGGCCTGTTGGCTGCTTCCAGGGAGGGCTGCTCTGGAGGGCCTTGGGCTCAGCATGGTGAAAGGTAGCGGCTGAGTGAGGAGCGAAGCTACGCTCGGGGACAGCCTATCCAGTGACGAGCAGGCACATCGCCTCGGTGCCAGAGAACCTTTGCCAATTCCGCACCGGGCAAGGGCACCATTCAGACCTGCGGTGACGATCTTCCTGAAGCAAAGCCTGGGCACAGGCTCCTTCCTGCGGAGCTCTCTGGTCCTTCTCGATGAGGTTTGCGACCCCACAGGCCCCCCCCCAGTCTTTGGGAATGAGCCCGGTTATTACCTCAGCCCTTTCTCTTCCCCTGGGAGGACAGAGATGCGGACAAGGCCAGGTGGGGAGTGAAGGGGAGAGAGAAGTGTGACCGAGGCCTGAAGGAGAAACCCCCCAAGTCCCGTTCCCAGCGCCACCTCCAAGCATCTGCTCTGCTCCAGATGCCCTCTTCTGACCCTCACGGTCCCCCATGCTCCACATGCCCACTCTGCCCGGGGCTTTCTTTCTCGGAAGCATCCTTTTATGTTATTTTCATCTTATCTACCCTTCCCGTCCCATTTAACCCCCCCCCC